ACAGACACGTTCGAGATGATCTCCTGCCATTTATTTTAATTCGTTAAAATGTTTTCTTGATAAACTCACAGAAGGCGTCTCTATCAAAATTTTAAATAAATGAAATGTTAATGAATGAAGGTAGTAAAATAGCTACTGTTTGAATGGAATAACGACAACTCTGAATGGTTGCCAACTCGTTCAAAACCATTTAATACAATTATAGTATCAAGAAACTGATCATCGAATTTAATTATATATTCTAATAATCTAACCGATTTAAAACACCACATATCAACCATTAAGAATTATGCAATTGTTTGGACATCAACCATCAGTTCAAAATGATGGAAGTTTCTCATGTCAGTATAGTTATGTTTTGTGGTCCCTTGATATTATTTATTCAAATATCTTCAGTGTTGGCAACTTAGTACAGCTTTGTGTTTCTCAAGTACGTTAACATTATATAACTCAAGAAAATACAATTATTTTAGGACTTACTGCATGCTTCATATCGGACATATTTATTTCTTATAAGACCTTATATGGGTCGTATTATGTTTAGGTAATATTTTTGTCATTTATGTATTAGGGATAGAAATAGTACACATTAAGAATACTATTTGTGAATATATTGTATTGATACACGATCCTTGTTTTCATGTGAGTATTAGATACGATAACTGTCTTCCAGCTTGAAAGCAGTCAGACATTTTAAGTTATAAATGCATAACATAATAAAGACAAGCCAAACACAATAAGGTGTATGTAAACAAGTGACAACATGTCGTATGTTTTAATGGTAGTTAACACTTGCCAAATCGTAAAATCTTCAACCGTCTGCTCAAAATCCTGCTGTAACATGTCTTCAAAGGTGACATTTATTTTCAGAGAGAGGAAGGAAACAAATGATTTCACAGATTCTGCTATTTCATTCACATATGAGGATACACTTGAAATTCAATGAAAAAAGAGAGAAGATGACCTTTTAAAGAATGCCGACAAAACACGACCACATTGAATATGATGCAGGTATGCAGAGATTAAAAAAATCTTGAAACAAAGTGATCCCTCGAAAGCATTAATCACAACAAAATTACATGGAATTGCAGACTCGGTTTCATTGAGTCTGTACATGAAGGGATAAAAAAGGGAAAAAAATGGCAACCTCCCTCCCGCCCCAGCCCCGGCCCTTTAACGGGGACTCAAGTTTCCAACAATTTTAGTGTAAAGCCTTTTTATTGACGGTGGTGAGGAATGTCGACTTATAACAACTTCTTTAAGGAGCATACAACTTAGAATTTGAAAATGTTGCTTATAGAACTTAATATAATGTTCACTTCCAGTAAAAAGTGTACTAGTATAACGTTTATTTATGATAAAAAAATCTCAACATTAAGAAGATGGAACATAGAAATGTATGCAACTATATCTATACAAACAATCTGCTCATTTCATTGGCCCAAACAGTAGTCAACAAAACAAGTTATAGAATCATGCTCGGATGGTGAAGTATCATAGTCACTGAAATGTTAATGTCGACTTGCAATGATTGTAGAAAATATTCTGTTTTGTTATGATAAAAGAACAGAAATGTGTTATTTTATTTTAATTTTATTTTGATGTACAATCACGTATATGTTTATTTTAAGTATTTGTTCAACATGTCCATCACGAATAGGAAATATCACCAATGACTGATTTACAAAGTTGTACAATATAATGATATTTAGACTCTTTCATACATATAGTAATAAATTATAGGATTTTTGTTTTGTTTAAGCCAAAAATGGTTGCGCCTTTCACATATCCATTTTAATATAGAGCATTGATTTAAATGACTATAAAATGCTGAGACATTCTGACAGCCACGTTTATGTATGTTAGTTTTCTTTCAAAAGTAAAGAGAAAAAAATTGAATAACATTTCATCTCATAATGGCTTTCACCTTTTTTGCTAATATAGTACCTCTCTAATTTCTGTTTGAATAATTTAAACATTGTATAAAGAAGAAGCAACTGGTTGGCACAATAGAGACAATACATGTAAAAACTGCTTGTTTTACGCAGTTTTTACATCCATTTATTCATGTTGAAATCAACATATAACTAGCATTTTACGTGCAGATACATACAATCTTTTTAGAATTTAAATTTTATCAAAACCATACAACCTGTTGTTCTTAATCTTTCTGCTTAACTGCTGTACATCTTTGATATATTTTATTTAAAGTAATCATCGCATTTACGGTTTGCTTGTAAAATTTCTCTTATTAGCAAATTAATTATAAATTCTGATAAAAAAAAATCTCAAGTGAAAAAGTGTTTGTATTTACTTAGAATACAGATGTTACAAATTATGTGCCGAGTCAAAAGTATCATTCTGTTTTATAAAATTGCATTTTATCTAGTTCCGCCGCCAATATTGCATTCTTGTTTAGGTCACACACGTTCTTTTATACACGTGGACTATACGCTTGTACGTTTGCATCTGCCGTGTTAATTCTGATATTTTGTTGTTGTGGGTGGCATATAAGAATCCCATTTCAGTTTTTAGTGAATTCAATTTAACGTTTTGATAATGTTTCACAAGTCTAATGAAATGACATCTATGAAATGTAATTATTATGTTTTAAATCCCGATAATGCAAAAAACATTGTGGTGATAAACTGTTTCAGATTACCACAGTTAATTTCAGTTTAAGTATCTACAGATAAGGTTTGACAGAAAGGCAAAACATGGATTCAAATTTACATTTAGTTGCCAAGAACAGTAATTATTATGCTTGAACAACGTTTCCCACAATTATTGATTCTGAATTTCTGTAAAGAACGGTAAATAATATTGAAAGAAAAATGTTGAAATAATTATTTTTCATATGATAACAGGGGCCTTGAAACATTGTTTTGATAGGTTAAAACATTCAATGCATATACTTATATGTAATAAATATGGCTGACTCAATTGCGTTCTACTGGTAACTTGTAAGGAAACGTACATTTAAGGTATTAAAAGTAAAGATATGCACACATGAGTCAGAGAGAAAAAGAGAATTGCTCTAGGACGACCAAAACCGGCACAATCGAAAATGTTGCAGACCCGGTTTGATTGAGCCTGCTCATAGATGCAAGCTACTGCCTACGCCCCTTAGCATCGGCTCCACAGAATCCAATATTTAATGGTAAATATTTGAATCAAATAAAATCCGCATTTGTGTTAAATATGCATTTATCATGCATTGAGATACAATAGTGCTTTAAGATAAAAAAAATTGTAAATGACCCAAATATGAATGGATGACTGTGCAATAAACGAGAAAATCAATTGGAAAAACTAAAGAAAATCGAAATTTTAAAAAGGATCAAAGGCCATGAAATAGAAAAATACAGAATCCCTAAAGAAAGCCCAACACGACAAAAATGAAAAAGTTGCAGGCTCGGTTGGATTGAGCCTGTTCATGGACTGTAATGGAAATGAAGCCTGGTTATCACAGAAAAGCTCTCAAAAAATAAAAATCAGGCAACCTGTCATTAATGTAATTATTTAGAAAGTAAGAAGTGCTGAAATAAGAGAAATACCAAACAAGACAAAAAAAAGTAAATAGAAAAAAAAATGAATCACAAATACAATAATTCCGAGCTGAACGATCTATAAGGATCGGAAATTTAACATTTTATAAAGTTCTAACGTTTCTATTTATTGTCCTCTCTATTATCAATTTGAGATTAAGATCAAGTACATCAACGGTATAGAGCCTTAAACTGATGGCAAATGCTTAACATTTTAAGGTCCAAAAGAATAAGAGTTAATTAACACTGTCAGAAGCTTTGCAAGGATTCCATTATAACCCTAATTGTAATTGGTGATATCATAAACCTGTAAACTGAATGTCAGATAATTAAGACAAATTACGTAATTCCGAATGAGATATATCTTATTTAGTTCATGTCTGTCTGCACTTCAACATTAATTAACAACTGATAACTAGTAAACACTTCGACTGTCTGTTCCTCATATATTCTAAACATAAAACAATTAGTGTCAAAGTCAATAGAAACAACATTATAGCAGCCCTATTTTTGTTAATTTATTTTTGTAACAAAAGTATGTAGAGTATAAATGTTGTTTGTTTGATTTTAGTATTGTTTTTATTGTATGTTTTAATATTGTTTTACGCCACACAGGTGGTACAAAGGGGGCATGATAGATGTTGCAAATTTACACATCTCTCATTAGCAGACTCAATCAAACCGAGTCTCCCAATTTCATATTAAATTTTAATATTCTTGTTTCACTGTTTCCTAAAGGGTCACCCACCCCTTTACCAGAAAATTCATTTTAATTGTTTTAACAAACATTATGTTGTTATAGTTCTTTTTTTAATTTTAGTTTTAGCCGTCAAATAATTACATAGTAAAAGGTTATGAACAGTCATATTATGTTCTTTTTTTGCGGACAAAAGCGAATATCTATAAATTTTTGAAAGAGAATGTGCATCCTAAATATAAAAATACGTCATCATATCTGATCATAAGTTCGTGTGCCATTACAAAATTAAGACATTTAAATGGGTTATATCAATTATTTATATAACTTCTTTACTAAAATGGCTCTTATTTATCAATACAACTAAAGTCATGTTAACTTATTTCATAAAAGGGACGGGTGTCGTTGACTTATTTTTTTTATTAATAGGTTTATTCCTTGTTATAAAATATATGCGAATAAATTATAACAGTTTCGTGAAAATTATTAAGCAGTTTGGAATGCAAAGTTTTGTAACATAACTATCTTAAAATCAATAAGAGGGTAAGTAAAAGTAAACAAAGTATGTTTGAATAAAAAACTGATCTAATTGATTAATATTTCTTAAAGAAGAATTTAATAAATTTGAATTTCAAGTTGAATGATCATTTAAACTTAGCATTTGTTAACATTACTGTTAAATTTCTATACCGTAGCAAATACACATACTGTTTAATTCTCTTATCGTATGGAAAGTATTTGGGAGTCTTTTCATTTGTCGATACAAAAACCTATGTACAACGCGTAGATATATAAAGACCACTGTTATATTTTCTCAAGGTAAATGTTTTGTGTCTATGTTAAAAATTGGATACTGTAGAAATTGTACGATGGAAAGTAGCTCTCAAAGAAAGATATGTCATAGGCGTAGAATTATCATTAGAATAATTGTGGATTTAACAATTTGGATTGCAGGTAGTTAATTTTTGTTGTTCTTAGTGTGACTATATTTTGGAATTTTCTTAAACAAATTAGGTTTCTTAAATTTTAATCATATTAATTGGTCAGGAACTAACTAATAATTATTTCCAAGTATTCATTTAGAAATTAAATATTTAAATATGTTGAATCAAAGTTTTGCAGGTGGAGTAAAAGGCACCTGCAAGTTAAGGAGTTTATGAACAGTTTGGTTTTCAGAATCAAATAGGTTTCTGATTATAAAATATTTCATGTTAGTATCATTAACTTCACTTATAATGTTCATTAAATCTTTTGATAAGACATCGTGTGTTTTGCATATGATTCACTGAATACATAGACCTCCAGTTATACCATACACCATTTTATGTCAAATGTTAAATGTACGTATATTGATTTTTTACCGGCCACTGAAGCGAATTTAACATTACATAATTTCAAATATCAATAATTTCAGACTTCATGATTTTAATTGTTTATATGTACCACAAAGTGCTTTCTTAAATATTTTAAAACCTTGATTCAACATCGACATTTCAACAGACGTTTAACTTTAGTTGAAATTGCGGATAATAATCCTGGGATTAACCCAGTTAAATTTACTTTTAAATGAAAGATTCAGATTTCTCATCAAAGGAGGTAAAAATTGCCTAATATATAGATATAATTTTATTTCAAATGTATAATATCAAATAGACAAAATCAGAATCTTCAAGATTACGACGTTTTACATGAACATATAATGTCATAAATATAATAATTAAGTAATTAAGTCTCAGCTAATACAAAAGAAATGTTTTAATTAATGAAGTTGGAAATTTGATGCAGTTATGTATATGAAGTTGTATTATGTCAACGTTAATGCACAATTTATGTTCAATGTATTTGTGTCAATTATCAAAACCTAGTTGTAAACTAATCGTTCATTAAAATGTCAAAGAATCATTATCATTACCTCATAAAGGTTACACAGAAATAAAAGAAAAACACTCATTCAAAATAAAAATACGAATTTTTTATGTTTAACAAATTAAAGCTTTGATTACCTTCGAAACAAAAAATGTGATTTAAGAGCATAATATATAAAAAAAAAAGCATCGTACATGGAGTGAGTACATTTTAAACTTTTCACAAATGCAACAGTGTTTAACATGTTTCAAGTAAAAAGTACGCTGGTTCAATTATCTAATGTATTTAAAATTCTAACGTTGATCTTCTGATGAACTATAGTTAGCGGGTAGTTGTAGTTTGCTAAAAGCTGAAAGCATTATAATGTTCGATTATGTACTAAGCAGCAATAATTGGCAAAATAAAATGTATCATGGACCTTTCATAACTATTGTACATAGTCACGGATCACTTAATTCTCTACAATGAGATAATATATTGATATGTCTTAAAAATGACAGATACACAACCACGTTTCTTATTTAATCGCGTGTCATCATATCAAATAAGAATTTAACTTGCAGAAAAGTTTTGTTAAAGAAAATGGACTTTCATTATACTTTAATTCCATTGATTTAATTTAATCTTATTCATAATGATTTGATCTTGAAAAAATTTTTTTTATCTATAAATGTTTAACATTGAGCTATATTTTAGATATTATATTAACATCATACAGAAATTCAAGATTGTAACGATTCTAAAACTGTCTTATATCTTTCAGCATCCCTAATTGCATTTTATCTGTTTCTATTCGAGAAACCATATGAAAGAGGTTTCTTTTGTGACGACAAATCCCTAAGTTACCCATCTGTACCAGAAACAATTTCAACACCTGTTATGGTGGTAGTAGGGCTGACAGCTGCTTTGATATTGGTAAGAATTTCTTTACAAATTAATCTATACCGAATGATTTCTGATTATAACACGGCATTTTAATAATACAAATATGAAGTAAGGCCATTCTTAACCTACAATATGTCATCACGAACAATAAGACCAGTGGTTGGCAATAACAGAACGAATAAATGACTGGAAAACTATTCTCCTGACACTTGCTTGATATTCTTGATTTTACAAATTTAAACTGTTAGTAAAAAATGGCCTGACGCAATTGTTGACAATTTTCACTGTAAATTCTTTTTGAAAAACAATTTTATGTAGTCAGTTCATGAATGACGCGTCGTGTGCATGCTTTAGGTCTCTTATTCAAGCTGCTTTGATATTTTTATAAATTTATAAAAATGTGTTTCTTGTAGATTATATCTGTAGAGGTTTTTAATTGGTTGGATGTCAAATGCCGGAAAAGATACCAGCATGCAAGTAGTGCTATATTTTGTGTGAAAAGCTACATGGTGTTTATGATTGGGTTCCTGATACAAGAACTGTTTGTAGACACTCTTAAAAACAAGATTGGAGTACTAAGACCAAATTTCTTTGATGTTTGTAAACCACAGTTTAATTTAACGTTATGCCCAGGGTAAGTCTTTATAAAAATCTGCATTTAAGATTATTACTTTATAGAAAGTAATAAATAATTTATTCTTTAATCACTTTATTTGTTTCGACCGATTAAAAATAATCACAACATGCATTTTAAATTTATTTCACAACTAGTTTTCTATAGACAATATGGCGACACTGCCTTCAATAGTTATTTAAGTTATTAACTAAAAATATTTCGTTAACTAATTGTTTAATTGTGATGCATTTATTAGGTTATTTCAGTGTTGCACTGTGAATCATGTAAAATGCCTAATCGGATTTTATTATAAAACGGATTTAATATTCCTTTAATGTATGCTTATAGATAATACATTGGACTTGTTTACTTCTATTAATGTGGAATATTAATGAAATATAATTAAAATTTAATTGGACATGCAGAAAATATGTCTATGACATTGAAATAACTTTGCACAAGCTAAAATTCAACGTGATCTTAAATCACTTGTGAATGTCGTATAATATTTAAATAACACATGGGTTTGAGGGTAACAGTAAAAATATCATCCCGAGGAAAATACTGTTACCCGAGGCGTAGCCGAGGGTAACAGTATTTTACGTGGGATGATATTTTTACTGTTACTCACAAACCCATGTGTTATTTATTTTATTACCCCGAACAAAAATACTGTGATGAACTAAATCTAACTGTAACAAAAATAAACCAAAAGTAACAATAACTAAACTGTCCTTACCTTTTAAGTTTAAGGTGTACTTTAGGCCTACGTGAGAAGTTTTCTTTCTCTTTTATTCTTTAAGCAAGTGATGATATCTACAAATCATAAACATACAATAAGCTAGGTTTTATTTAGAAAACATAACACTAACCCATTTACACGGTTAAGATCTGTGAAATCTGATCCTTCTGTTTCCAGAATATTCTTAGCATGGTTTTTGACAAAATAACGATGAGATCCTATGTCTGTCCACCATATCTGTAACTGATTAAAATTGTAAAATAATTCTCTGTTGCATGCTTAAATCGCCTGCATGTTCCAGTTTGACACATAATTATTTACATTGCAATTACTTCCGTTGAAAACGAATGTTCACTTTTTGACTATTCAACAAAAAGATATTTTATACACGAAAAGCACACCAGGGTGCGAACAACTAAATTTTATTGGTGTCATATTTACTCCAGAGAAGAAATTGATGTCCTATTGGGGTTTAACGTCGAAAATAAGAATGAATCGAGAAGAAAATGGTCGCCATTTATTTCATTCTATTGAGAAAATAGACCACGTGACCAGATTTTATACTGTTAAAAAATAATGTTACCTATGTAACAGTACAAAATTCTTAGTCACGTGGTACACTTGCATTTACAGTAAAAATAACTCCCAGAGGCCTATGGGAAATTAGCATTACGAAAAAAGTGAGGGGTAATAAATTATGATATCATATGGTAGAACATTTTACGTTGTGATTTCTTCATATGGGATCTTTAAAATTATTTACAAACAAATATTTTATTAAATGATGCCTTAGTATCACATGTTATGTTGTTTTAAAGGTATATAACAGAATACATGTGCTCTGGAAATGACGAAAAAGAAATCAGAAGCAGCCGACAGTCTTTTCCTTCCGGACATTCATCTTTTGCCATGTTCATTGCAGTTTATTTTAGTGTAAATATTTATGTTTTACATTTGCTTATCTAAAGGGTTTTAAATTCTGCGTGATATCGCATAAAACAATGATTAAATAAGAAGTATCAAATTATGTGGTCTTTTTTGAAAATAATATAATGGAACCTTATAAATAATGACCCCATACAGGTTTAGTTAATTTAAGGAATAATACATTACCCTATATTTCAAACTTTAATTGTCGTGTTTAAATAAAACCTATGAATAAACTTTCATTCATTTTAATAATATATCTGACATTAATTACATTTGGCAATTTATTGATTATACTATACATGTTTAGAAATGATCAATAGAATGAAAGAGAAATTAATACTTTCATTAATTGACGTATACTCCTATAAATACATATTAAAATATTTTCATTGAATGCTTTGCAGTTGTACATAGAAAACCGTTTGCATATAAGGTTCTCTCGATTACTGAAGATCTTCCTACAAATTAGTCTTGTATTGGCTGCAATTTTATGTGGTTTTGGCCGCATCAGGGAAAACAAACATCATATGTCTGACGTTCTAGCTGGTTTTATACTAGGCATCACAGTTGCTGTATTTGTTGTAAGTACATATTCATTATCTAAAATTACTTGATAAAACTTGTATTATAATGAACTGAATTTGTTATTACATCCCATATACAAAGGTCACTTGTATCAAATAAGAGATGATTGCATTTCATTATCATAAACAAATAAAAGAATAATCCAAAGGTCACACTTGTTAAACATTCCATTATAGTTTTTCCTTTTTTTGAACCAAAATAAGGCCAATGAGTCTTTCGATCATTTTTATATTGTAGCATACCATGATGTGGAGGAAATATGTAAAAGATGACAGTCGTAAAGAGGTTCAGAAAAATCAAACGGACAAATCACGTGACTGTTGTTGTGTATGTAACCAGCCTTCTGATATTGAATTTGATTCACAAACACCATCATCTATATCACAAAATGGATATTTCCAAAATATAGAAACTGGAAGGAATTCATCGTCTGCTAAACATATATCCCTTCAAAACAATAATAATCAAACTATTTCAGAACCATCGGAAATAATGTAGAAAAAACAACTCTTCTTGTATTTTTATAAACGACCTTTTGCAAGTTTTGTATCAAAGGTTTAATTAGTGCAATTAAGAAGAACTACTTTACAATATACATATTCCAAAGGTATGTATAAAGTCTTACAACAAGTCGGATATATATCTTATACTTCATATGATATGCACATTATGCGTATGTCATTATTGTTCTTAGCTGAAAAGCAAATAATGAGTGATTTATTATACAGACAAAATGATTTGATACGACATATATATATCTAAATAAGTAAATGTGACAGAATTGGTACTGATACATGTATATAGAATATTGCATTGTTTTATGAGTTTTATATTAAATAAAAAATGTTTATTCATTTTTGTCATTTCGTAAGAAATGATGATGTGAAATCTGTAGTGGAATACCGGGTACTTCCCTAAAATGATTCAATTTTGACATATACAAGCATCCTCATGTTAAATATGATACACATTGCATTTGTTTCTTTTTTTTATTTTCTGTTTAAATAAAGTTTAACATTGAAATATTCCACTGTCGACCGATTTACCAGTATCTTAGGAAATTTATATTAATTTCTATAGCGGACGTATTTCTCCTCCCTTAGCTAGTGTTTTTAAGTTATTTTTTTATCCTGCCTGACTCGATAGAAATGCACTCAATATGCATGTTACATACCACAGCATTAGGATGTTGATAGAATGAATGACATAGAAACATCTGCAGGTATCAAAAGATAAAATCAATGGGGTACTTCATTACAAAGTGTTGACGTTAAAACCATCTCAAACCAGCTGAATAAGTTTTCTTTGCGTATATTTTTATTTAGTTTTATTGAATATAATGCACATTCTGATAATTTGGCAACTTTAATGGTTGCATAGAAAGGTTAAATTCATCGTAGCATTTTAGCATTTTTAATTTAGATATATCTTCACAAATTCATCCAGCTAACAAATACTGACATTTTTAATTAAGATAAATTCGCGAATGTGTCCATATGGAAAACCTTACAATCATTATGTACCTTATAAATATTATAACGTTTTATATTGTCTTTTTTTAAAGAAACTGGAAAACTCTATTCTAGTTTCAAAAACATATCATTTATGTTTGTATGAAGACTGGAGTACTAGCTATTCTCCCAACGGTATATTAAAGTACTATCAGTTTGTTCCTAACAAATTCTTCACTACGATACCGCACTACGAGGGCATGAAATGAACACTTTTGAGCTAACTTTTAATTTGAAGTCTCCAGATAGAAATAAGCAATACATTTCAAACATCCCTCGTACATTGTGGTTAATAAGGGATAACAGGTAATAATACCACAAGCTAAAATCTAATTTACATGATAGAACGATTCTAAATGTGAAATAAATCGTATAGTTTCTGATGATACTTAATTCAATATATCAAATGTCTATTTAGGACATGTTTTATTAACATAAAAGATAGTATAAATTAGAAACCGCGGGTGGCAAATGTATACACATAAATTCGCCTGTAAAATGATGTCGAGCAATGAACTTAACAAAACAGTATTGGAACTTGTGAAATTAAAACTAGGTAACGCAATTAAAAAAGGAAGAAGAAAAAGAGCCTGTCTATTATCGTTAATTGTAATCAATTAATATAAATGGTTCTTAACACAAAAAGCAAATAAGGAAATGTTTGTTTAGTAAAATTACGACATCTTACACCGGCAATCCTAACATTTAATTGTGTACGTTCGTTTACATATTTTAATATTCATTTAAATTATTTTAGATTTTTATCAATCGATATCATTGAACAATATAATCATCATCTCGGTAAAGACTATTAAAGTGTATCAATGTCCACTGTCTGAAGAATTTCATTAATTTAGTATATATATGTTTTTTAATTGATGGCATTGATATAACTTTTATGACCGCCTTATGAAGTCATCTGCGGATGTTTCAAAATTTACAAGTTTTACATTTCGTGTTCAATTCCACTTAAGCCGGTGCTAGGGGTCGTGGACGGTAGCTTGCAATTACCATTACAGTCCATGTACAGGCTCATTCAAACCGAGCCTACGATATTTTCAATTTTGACGTGTTGTGCTTTCTTAAGGGATTCTGTTTTTTCTCAAATTTGCATTGATGTAACAATTTTGTGTGTATGCCCGCATTAATTATGTATTTCTATTCGACTGACTTCAAAACAATGAACGTAAAACAATTTACCATAGAAATTATTCAAAACAGAAATAAACTTTCTGATGTGATTCGAATGCTTTAAATTAACATCTATATCATACAAATAAAATACATTACCTTTGAATAAAGATGAAATGCTAACAATATATTAAACCGCGTTATATATAAGAGGTTGTTAAAAAAGTCAAACATTACCATCAAATAGTTAATTAGCTGCCATGAATATAAATATTTGAAAACGCATCGCAATGAAACTGTTTAATGTAATTTCTAAATAGAGAATCCGGCTTAATTGAAAACTAATATTTATTTTAAAAGTTGATAAAGCATGACAAGTATATCAAGATACACTAATACACTATGTATCTTCAAAGACAAAGAGTATGGAAGGGAATGACATTTATTATCGTTGAAATCAAAACAAGTTCATCATTATATTTTGCAGCTTTCGTACTAGATAATGTTTACACAACTGTTTTGAGCAGCCCAATAAAAGTAGTTAGTTATACCCTGGACAAATGTTATGGTATAGAATCATTCTATTAATATTCTTCTTGACTGAAGGTAAACAGTTGTATGAAGAAACTTAATTAAATAAAACCTCCTGTGAGAGAAATCGTCGGGAATGATAATGAAAATAAATTGCTCTTCATCCAAAAAATAGAATAAGAAATTGTTGATTCCGTGCGCGTCTGTCAAATCTTAAGCGGAAATTAACGGCTGACAACTGGTACATTTGACTGTCTCTATTGCATTCTTTATATGAAAGATTCCGGACTGTTGTTAATTACAGTAAAAAAACAGGGTAGGCAATATTCTTTCAGACTTATTCAACTCGACAAAACGTTTCTAATTTTATTAAACATTATTACCAATAAGTGTATTATACCTAGCACCTGTTCACCAACATACTCGGAATAAACTCGGTAAACTAAACTGAATGCTAAACAGGTACTAAACTAGCTCACAAGTACCCTTGTTACATCCATGCATCAATGCTATAATTGGTTTATGAGCAACTGTAGAACATTCGTTTCAGTAGAAATGCTCATTACATATGACGCAATACTGTAAGAATAAAGTACCACAGTAGCATACTATTATATTCACCAAAATATTCATTACTTATTCATTCTTTTTTTAAATTTTAACTTTATTTAAATGCTTGTATCATCTGTATCACTAAAGTTCTTATGAAATTAGAGCATCACTATCAATTCTGATTTTATTTGTCATATCTAGGAAAAAAATTACATTCGCCCAGACGAAGTCGAAGGATCGTGTCTTAAAACCATGATTCAGTTGTAAATCAGTATAAGATATATGATTAATACATATTGTTTAACTTAAGTTCCCACCCGTCTGAATTGATATAAAATGCACCAAAACTGAAAAATGGAAAGTAAACGCATTCCATTATAAAAAGATAAACATAACTTTGTAACAATTTGATCGGGTTTATATTTTAAGATATCAATTTCTTTATTCAATACTTATACATTTCCATTCTTACATACAAGCAAATAATGAAGCAGAATAAAAACAAAAACTCACCAAAAACACTCACAAATATCCGAACATGCACGCACACAAATACGCACACAAATACGGTTACTTAAAATGACTATTTTTCTTCGTTGGTTCCCATCTTGGACGATGTGCATTACGAAGTACTTGGAAACGAAAAAAAGAGATGATGCTGCTTATTATGTCAGTTTTTGTTATATAAATTTAATAAACTGATATGGATGGGATATGTGGCGTTGTGGTATGTGAAATATAAGGTTCATGTGAAACGAAAACGTTATAAGAACGGACAATATAAAAACATGCGTTATTATGGTTGCTTTAAAAGGGAGAAAAAATCACAGTCGCATATACATGTACGCGTGAAGAATGTTGCATTTTTTCATTATCACTCACTTACAGACTCAATCAAACCGAGTGTGCAATTTTCATGTTTATTTGCTGTTTTTAAAGCTTCCGAGGGATCACTTTTTACCAGATTTTTATACACAACAGCAGGCTTCAAATGCTGTGTGGCAGCCGTGAAAAGTTGCCCGCACTTCACTTTAGTGTTGTTATATTTTCTGGTCCTTCGGGAGGATTGAGTCCAGCACTTTAAGTTTTAAGAATTGAGTACCGCTCAAGTCGGTACAAGGGGGCGTGAGGGATGTTGCACCTTTTTATTATCCCTTATGTACAGAGTCTGCAATTTTCATGTATTTTTGCTGTTTTGAGTGCTTCCGAGGGAGAGATCACTTTTTTAGATATTTATTCCCTAACCAGTCTTTATTGGCAGTTTAAAACATGTTTATCTATCGTTTTGTCTTTTTCGTGTATAGTGACACACTCACGAGCAGTGTTCGAATAACATATTCAAACGCCACAGGATTTATCGAAATAAGACATAATTTAGATGAAAAGAATCTACGACATTTCGTAAGCAACGAAATGACGTCATCCTAAGTAAACTTCTCATTCATAAAATCGTCAGAATGACGTCATTTTAAACTAACATGGATGGGGGATTAAGATTCATTTTTACAATCAAGTCTGACACGTTAGTTTAAATTGTTGAAAAATTGACAAAAATAATTCTTGAAAACTAAGGTGAAACATTTTGTCTTATAATTTCTTTTCTGTCATATGTTTTATACCTTAGCGACAGCAGGGTGCGATAAAATACAACCTTATATTAAAATTCGCAGCAAAATTACTTCATCGGTTTGTTTTTTTAGGAGCAAAATGATATCGGTCTGAGTGGAGTTTATTGGCTATTTATCACTGGTTTGTCGTTTATATGCGAACGACATCAACCACTATGGTCAATGGTTTTCGTGGTCAATTTCTACGAATCAAATATCTAAAAAGGTGTTTAATAGCCGAAAAACTCACACACATTAATTTTGATTTTACTGTATCAGCTGAATTATCAGTCTTTAGTGTTTGAAAGACGGTACAATTAAAAAATATCCTTTGTTTCTTCACAGAGGTATAGAAACATATGTTGATCTATTGCAAACATTAACTTATTGCTGTAATTAAGCCTGCATGTAAGCAATTAACAAAAGTTTTATGAGTTCGTTCACGCCTACAAAGATACTTTTTTCATATAAACACATGTTGTTTAATGCCTACAAAAGTGGGATCAAATGCACCAAGCCTTTAAGTCTTGATTTATTGATGTTTTACCAATTTTGATTATTCAGCGTTTCTGTGAACACATAATATAGTGTTTTACATAATAATGTCATTCATTGATACATATAAAATAGATGTGAT